ACCAGCCTGCTTTCCCCCTGCTGTGTCAGGCTGTGTAAGCAGCACTGCCCAGTCACATAGTGTAATCAGAGCAGAGTTCTTTCTGTAGGATTTGTTGCTGGTATGGTGTACCCACGTGCCTAATGCAGTTGCCACTCATTTGCCCACAGTTAGATGTGCCAAATCTGACACTTGGGATAAACTCCAAATAACTTGGAACTATGTGTACGATGTGCAAGAATCTTTGCCACAGTTGTTACAAGGCATACATCTACGTTAGAGGAATCCAGCTGCCACCCCTCCTGCTCTCCTCTTTCTTTTCTATGCCTGGATCTACAGGGAGGAACCATTCACAAAGAAAACCTCCGAGAAAAGGAAAGACACGAGGCCAGGATATTGCATCCCTAATGTTGTCACCGTTTGGGAAACATGGCCCCACTGTGGACCTTCCCAGGCTGACCAAGCTGTGGTCTTTCTTGTGGGCTTCCCTAGCCTGACGAATCATTCCTGGTTAAAGGGTAACTCTGACTCATCTTACCAAACAGTTGTTTTGGTTGTCACCTGTGCTGAAGTCCACTGTCGGCACAGCCTTCATTCTCCAAAGGACCCAGTGAGTGTCTAAGTCTGTGAGTGCGAGAGAGGAGAGGAAAGAATGCATGTGTGTTGGTTTGAGCCCACACTTATCTTCCTCCTTCCAAAAATACAAGAGACCCTTAACCCAACCATTCCCAGGACTGGCTGATTTCTAGAACATCTTGAGGCACTTAAAAATGCTATTTACCTGGCTATATTAATTTTAAACCTCTAAAATTGGATATAGAATGTCTGGGTGATATTTATTTTTCTTTTTTTCCTCCAAAATTAATTTTTTTTTCTAATGTCTGGTAGTGACTATATTTATGCTGTTCCTGTTTTGTTTTTTTGCATGTAGTGTTTCTACAAAGCACTGGGTTTCATCATTGGCATTTCCACATGTTTGTGGTGTACTTTGGCCATGTTCTTCACCTCTTGCTATCACTTGATCCCCTCCCTGTCCTGTTGGTACCTCCAACATCCCTCTTCTAATTTCATGCATTTTTGAAAGTCTAGATCTAGACAGTATTCTTCAGTGTTCTTCAGGTGATTGAGATGAGCAGGTAGGTGACTGAAACTGTCTGGCCTCTGTGGTTATCAGCGGAGTTCTATGCCAGAACCTCTGAGTGTGTTCACTCCAGGAAAGTCCAGGCCAAGAGAGACTGACTAGAGGTAGTATCTGAGGCTTGTTTGTGACTTCTCTTCTGAGTAACAAATGAGGCCATTACTCAAGGAGGAGCTTGGAGTGCCTTGGAAAAGAGAATAGTAGTCAGCAATCTTGTCCAGTTCTCTCAACCCACTCACACTGAATGGATAGTCATCTCTGTCCAGTGCCTTCTGGGAGATGAGGAAGATTCCAGTGATCTTTGTGGGTTGTCTCTTGGAATCCTCATTGTAGACTACATGCTGAAGATCCTGTTACGGAGGACTAGAGACAGTCAAAGTGATTGGTCCAAGGAGTTGTCACTCATTGATAAGCAGGTGGAAGAAGCAATATTTGAGTTTATTGCCACCAGACTTCAAGATCTACTTTCCATCCGGAATGTTTGAGTCAAAATCAGTAGGCAGTGGTAGGTGAGATGGCTGAGCATGTAAAGACACCTGCTGCCAAGCCTGGTGGTCTCAGTTTAATCCCTGAGACCTGCATGGTGAAAGGAGAGAACCAAGTCTGTAGGTTATTCCCTGACTGCACGCACATGCCTTGACACAAGTGCATGCACACCTCTCCACACACATACTAAGTAAATAAAAATGCAAAAAACAAGCACCATTTAAAATAAAATCAAGCTACTGAGGATAGGTCAAATAACTCAGTCCTGTAAGACGAGTGTCAGAGTTTCCCACAAAAGATGTTTTGTGTTCTCTCTCCTCAAGGCATTGCTGCTTCCCTTCTACTCTCCTATTTTGGAGCCATTCATTTCCCTCCAGACCCAGCTAAAACTGGTTTGCTTTTTTTTCAGTGAGCTGTTCATGTTTTGATATGCTGCCCTTCTTCCTTACCCCTGGCCCCTCCCCTACTCAGCCCCTACACACAGGCATACTTGCTGGATGGGGCCTAATGCGTGGGTCAAGTTCTGGGAATCAGCACTTGGGGTGCAAACATAGGCCTGTTTTTCGTTGTTATGTGTGTTGGTCTGATAATAGACTCTCAGAGGAACATCCTCTAAGTGGCTAAAGGGCGGGACTGTGCAAACTGATTGCCTGCATTCAGATTCTGGGTCCACGTCTTTCTTAATGAGTAACTGCTTAATATCTATACAGTAAGATGGAGTCACTACTCCTGACTTCCTTGGATAGTTACTGAAATATCTGGTGTATCCTGAATTTTCAGGATATCAGTCGTTTTGGTAGAGTAGGCCCAGTGCTGATGTACAACTCAAATATATCCTGAGCATTAAGGGGAGAAATCTGGGTGTTGCTAGTCCTGCTTAGGCTCCTTTCTGAGTATAATTCTTGGAAGGTTTCTCTGTTTTATTATATTTTCTTCTGGCTCTCAGGATTGACTCAGGGCCTTGTGCATGCTTGACTTATACTTTAGTTCTGAGCTGTGACACCCTAGCCCTGCTTTGTCTTTTAATTTTCAATATTAGGCCAAAAGCTGTACCTTGCCACATGTGTTTTAAAGCTAAAATTTGGGGCTGGAGATTCAGTTCAGTAGTAGAGCCCTCACCTAGCATGTGCCAGGTCCATGATTCAATGTCTGCACCACAAAAGGGTGAAATGCAAAATCATTGATTTTATGAAATATGTTGCCTCACTTGGCAGTGAATAGCTAGGTGAAAAAAATATGAATGGGATAAACCTTAGCAAAATTATAGTGAGAAACATAAGGTCAATTTTTGTAAAGTTAAAGCAAAAAGGTACTGAAGGAATATATTACAGGTCAGATCAATACAGCCTAAAAGGGAAGGTGAGGGCCACATACAGATAATGACTGTCTGTATCTTAGGAGGAGGGGAAAGAAGAGGAGCAGGGAGGGAGGCTCATGTGGTTTAGATGTCTGTGCTTACACTAGCCCTAGTTGTCTTGGGATATGATTTCACATCATTATAACTAATTAAAAGTGGTCATGAATGAAGGGTTATGGTAAATCAAATTAATGCACCTGAGGTTAAAAATTAGTATGTTCCCAGTGGGTGGTGGCTACTTATTAGCATGCTGTGGACCACCTGGGTCATGCTATAAGCTACCATTGATGTTCTCTGTGATTGCCTGTGATTTTGTGTAAAATACCTGAGAACCAAGGTTTTCCTCCTCCAGCCACAGTGGCTTTTTTCACAGAGAGCCCAGAACAGTCGGGATATTCAGGTTGCCTTGCTTCTCAGGTCTGGGGCGACACGTGGGCATAAGCGCCTGTGTGACTCTGAACTCAGTGAACAAAGACAGGGTTGTTTTGTCCTCGCTGTGCCAGATGGAAGGCTTTCATTAGTCACTTTGGGAGCATTCACATTAGCTGGAAGATTTTCTTTCCAAGGGTTGGAGCTGATGGTGTTTGCCTTGGGATGGTGTTAGTCCTCTCTACTTTCACAGCTACTGCCAACTATCACAACCTTTGCCTACGGCTTTGCCCTACCCATGCTTCTTTTTCCTTAACCCAGGGAAGCACAGAGGATGTTTGAGAGAGCCCAATCACATGCTCCCAGGTCAACGGCATCTGGGTACAGGTAACTCTCAGGTGTAGCTTTTTTGACTGTGATGAAGAGACAGAGACAAGAGCACCAGCTTAAGGAGACCTGAATTCCATTCCAGGCTCTCAGCTGTGTAATCTGAGGTAGCAGTATTTCTTTTTCCTGTATGTTGAACTGAGGCTCATAAGAAGCCAGTGAACTGTCACCTAGGTATACATGGATGCAACTTAGCTAGGTCATGCCCAAGCTCTAAAGCGGTGCTGGGGATGTGCTCAGCTGGTAGAGTGCCTGCCCGCTATGTATCAATCCCTGGACTCAGTGCCCAGCACTACCTGGACTAGTTGTTGTGGCACACGTGAAGCGCTTGAGGGAGGAGGGGAGATGAGAAGGTCAAGCTCATCTTCTGCTACCTTACATGTTTGAGGTCAGCCTGGGATATATGAGGATACGTGAGGATGCACATAGCAATAGCAAAAGGAGCTTAGGTGCCCCAATGGTCCTTCCTGTCAGCAACCCCCCGCATCCACCTCAAGTACCCCCAGAGGTCTAGTTTCTGTCACCGTCAACTATCAGGAGGGTTTGAAACATTATTAAACACTTCTGAGCTTCAGTGTCTTTATGTGAAAAGTGAAAACGTAGGCCTGTGTTACAGCACTTAGTTGGGAAAATCTAATGGGACAGGGCATGTGAAGTCCACAGTAAGAAATTCATCCAACAGGTATCACTAGGTTAGGCAGAGCTGTTTTGTCTCTGGTTGGCAATGTTGGCTCCAGAGAATCAGGCCCCTGTTGTCTATGTAGCATTTGTTTCCTTTGTCCTCTGTGCCTTCCATGTTCTACCACTGTCTTGGATTGTTCCCACAGTGGCTTTCAGGACTCCTTCTAGAAACCAATTCTTTATGCTCAAGTTGATTGAAAAATGAGCATGGAAAAAAGCAATTGTTCTGCACCCTTCCTCCCCAAACCTGTGTTTCAGAGACGGTCTATTTGCTGAATTATATAAATCAATAGCTGTATTACAGGGTAGAGACCTGGACTGGACCTGTTTCCCTAAACTGAGAATTGATGCTATGGTGTGCCCTGGTTGCCATGTTTGTTGAAGTGGCAAGGATGCTAACATTTTTGTTTTAAGACTAAACAAAAACCACCCCATATGATTGCCCAAAAGCCTACAGTTATAAATCTTTCTTAAGTCAAAAGGAAGAAAACAAAAGGATACCCACGTTGAAGGTTTTTTTTTTTTTTATTTTTTAAAGATAAGTAAGCTTTATTTTCATGTTTTTCAAAATTAGCTAGTTGAACTGGTTGCTTTGGGAGGTGGTTAATCAAAGAGACCAAATCCTATATCCTCAGCTGATTCCTCCCACTCTTCCTTGGCTTCAGCTTTGGCTGGGGCTGCAGCAGCAGCAGTGGTGGCTGCAGCCACAGGGGCAGCAGCCACAAATGCAAATGGATCAGCCAAGAAGACCTTGACCTTCTCAGCAAGTGGGAAGGTGTAGTTGGTCTCCACAAATAAGGCCAGGGCCCGCTTGTATCCATTGATGATAGAGTGTGGCACTGAGGCAACAGTCAGGTAACCAATTTGCAGACAAACACTGGCAACATCGCGGACACCCTCTAGGAAGCAAGTGTGCAGAGTCTGCTCTGTGATGTCAAGCACTTCCAGGTTATAGATGCTGCCATTGGCAAACACCTGCTGGATGATCAGCCGGAAGGAGAAGGAGGAGGTGTTCAGCGTGGACTCACTGGCTCCCACTTTGTCTCCAGTTTTGATCAGCTGCACGTCTCTCAGAATTTCAATGGTGCCTCTGGAAATTTTAGTGGTGCTGCCCAAAGCCTCAAAGAACAGGGTCTTCTCAGGTCCCAGACCAGTGTCCTGAGCTGGCACAGTGACCTCACACGGGTCAATGGCACCAGTTGGAGCAGCAGCAGGCACCTTATTGGCTAGCAGCATGTCCCTAATGTCAGTGAGGTCCTCCTTGGAGAACACAAAGCCCACATTCCCCTGGATGTAAGGGAGCAGTGTCTTCAGAGCTGGGTTGTTCTCCAGGCAGCTCTTGATGGCCTTGTGTACCATGGTGTTCTTGCCCATCAGCACTGAGGCCTTTTCTTGAAGGGACATGTGGATCTGCTGCATCTGCTTGGAGCCCATGTTGTCTGCTCCCACAATGAAGCATTTTGGGTAATCATCCAAAAGTTGGATGACCTTAAGGAAGTAGTTTGACTTCTAAGTCGCTCTGTCTTCCCTGGGCATCACCGTGGTGCATCAGGGATTGCCACACAGGGTTTAAAGATGATGGTGAGAGCAAGGGATTTTTTTTTGGGGGGGGTAAGATTATTTGATGCATGTTCTACATTAGGTATTAATCTGAGTGGTTTTTATGCTGTTTTCTTCATGAAGCAGGCGGTACTGTGCAGGTGACAGGGCATTCAGGCAGTGATGGAGTCCAAGGCTGGGATCTATCGGCAGAACCCCCTCCCTACACTTACAGAGTGTCAAGTGCTGTGTCAAGAGCAGTGGCTTGTGATCAGCTTTAAGCCGAAGGCACTCATTCAGTAGGTGGTTGTGGTGCAGACTATGTAGGACATTTGGAAGACTATGGCTAGTAAGCCAGGTTGGGGCCAGGGATTCCCATGGTCCTGGAGGCTGTATCATTTGGGCTGTGGTCTGGGGGAAATTAAAAAAAAAAAACTACAAAGTGTGACTCATGTCAGTGTCCCTGAGACTCCTCACCCAAGAAGACATTTCTCAGGGTGACTTCTGCCCACCCTTAAGTGAAACTGTGCTCTTGCTAATCTGCTGGATCGTCTGCTACCTGGCATGCCTTTGATGTGTTTCTGAGATCTTATAGTACTCCCGCTCCACCCGTGACGTTTTAAAGGCAAAGGCCTTCTTACTCACTTCTTTCCCAGGTGAGCAAGAGAGGTTAGGCAGTCGATGTGTGTAGAAAGATGAATACTTTATTAGGAAGAGTTTGTGAGAAAGAACACCACTGTAGTACAGGGCTGGAAGAAGGAAACATGCTTGCTGAGAAGGAGATGCCCGCCTGGCATTCCCTCTGTGGCCAGCCATTGCGCAGGGAGCCAGCACGCCAAATTTCCCCAGTTACCATGGGACCCAGACTTTGACAGGAAATCATGGTAGGGTGGGAAGGAATCCAAAATACACATGGCTGGCATACAGGCTGCAGTTAGGAAAGAGACGAGAACAGTCCATCTATTTTCCTGAGCTGAGTTCTGCAGCTTCAAATGGGGCTGTTTTCTAAGCCTCTCTCTGAAGTTGGTCCATTTTATGGACCTGATTTTCAAGCATGAACTTTTTCCACATTAAGCAATACTTCTGTGATTTAAAGTGGCCCCTTTATATGTTTGTGGAGGGTACTTTTTAGCCGTGTGTGTGTGTGTGTGTGTGTGTGTGTGTGTATGTGTGTGTGTGAAACTAAAAAGGAACCAAAGCCTCTTTAGTCAGGGAGACACTTTTTTTTTCTTTTGGATTTTCCTGAAACTATCTCTCTGCTGTTAGCAGCCTGCTGGAAACCCAGCACCCTTCATTTGCCGAGGTGTGCCAGTGGTGACAGGGTGGCTTTCGAGGCTGAGTTTCCTGGAAATTTCAGCCACCATGTCATGAAAGTGAAATGCCTCATCCACAGAGAAGTAAGTATGTTTGCATGCTGTCAGTGAAGTTTGTTAAACTGGAAAGCTGGGAAGGGGATTTTGCTTAGGCTCTTTGCAAATGGAACTCTGGAAAAGTTCAGCAGGGCCTGACTGTGCATAGCCTGGGACCAGTTCCAGGCCTCCAGAACATTTAACAGGTTGCTATTGATAGCATTTTCCATGAACAACCCAATTCAGCAGTGTCTCTGAAACCCTCCCATACTTCTTGGAAATGTGCTCAATTATTGATAGAAATCGCAGTTCTGCAGTAGAATTTTCATCTCTGTACCTTCTTGGTGCCCCTTTTTCTCCTTTTTTTTCCCCCTATTTCCCTCTTTTTCTTTTCCCTCCCTTTCTCCCTTTCTTCTCCCTCTCTACCCCCTTCCTTCCAGACTGAGTGTAATTTATCAGGTATCTTAATTCCATTGAGCTTCTTGCTTTTATCCCTCACAATAATTCTGACTATAGTTGCTTTAGGAGAGGTGACTAGGCCAGACCTAGCAGCAGCAGAGTACTTTTTGGTTTTTACAGATGTCTTTGATACTCTTTCTCCTTTGGTATCACAACTACTGTAGCTCACCATTCAGCTGACCTTATGTAAGCTCCCTTGTGTAACACTGTACACCCTGTCTTATTTGATCCTCAAAAACCACCTTGGGCCATACTACCATGATTTCTTTCTAGTTTACAGATCAGCTGCATAGCTCAGAATACCTGTTGGCTAGTTGAGGGTGAGATAGACTGGCGGTGCGCAGCTTCACTTGACTCGGAGCACCGTGCACGCAGTACTGCCTTCTCCACACCCAGTGCCGCTTCTCAAGAAGAAAACAACACCGCAGAGTACTTTCTTGAGTTCTCATGGCCAAGGAGTAACCCAGACAGAAGCAAAAGTGCCTTGAGGAACCAGAGTTTTCTTTTATTTATTTTTTCTTAACCAGAACCTCTTTTACCTGAGCGGTGGTCCCTCAGTGAGGTCCTTGGCATCCAAGCCAGCAGTCAGTAGGTCAGTCAAGGCAGGTGAAAAGGTGTTCTGGGAACCCAATGTGCTGTCTTTATACCACAAGTAATTTGCCTGAAGCTGAGAAGCTGTAAAATTGCTGCTTATTAAGTGCATTTCTGTTTAAAGTTTACATATCAGGACTCTGCAGGTTACAGATGCAGCTCAAACCAATTTAAGCAAAGTGAGTTTACTGCCTCAAGGTTATGAGTGGGGCTGGCTTCCAGTGTGCTTTGATTCAGAGATGCAGAGACCCTCGCTTGTTATCTCCTCTGAATTTTGCTTTACACATGGTTATAAACTGGCTACAGAAACCTTAGCTTTGGAGAAGAAAAAGGGGCAAGTTGGCTCCCCTGATAATTCAAACAAAAATTCTGTTGCTGAGTCTGCTTAGCTGTGACTGGCCCAGAGTCACGTGTCCATCACTGAACAGTTACTCTGGTCTGGGACCACACACTCTATCTCGTGCCCCAGGGAAAGGATGAGGAACCATGGTGGCCTGAGAATGTGGTAGGTGGGTTGTAGAAAGAAGGTAGAGAGATGGAGATGCTGGTTGAGCAAGATAGAAAAGTAGAATAGAAAAAAATGACCACAGGGAAATGCACCACCCACATTTGGTCAGGCAAGGGTAAGTTCTTCATCTGAAGAATTTCATCAACCATTAAGGAGTGCACCTTCTTGTTGCTGCAGTCGGAGCATTCATCTTGTGTGTATGTGTGGGGAGCCTGTCTTCATATGGGTGCGCATGCACATGTGTGCCCTTGTATGTGGAAGCCAGAGGACAACTTGAGATGTTGTTTCTTCAGAGCTGTCGATCTGGTATTTTTAGTCAAAGCCTTTGATCAGGATCCAGGGCTCACTGATTGAACTAGGTTGAATGGCTGCCATGGTCCTGAGATCCACCCTTGTCTGCTTCCTGAGCTCTGGGATTACTAGTGTGTGCCGCCATACCCATCTTTTTATTGGGTGCTGGGGATCGAACTCAGGTCTTCATGCCTGGCGGCAAGCACTTTAGTAACTGAACTCCCCAAGTCAAAGAGCAATGCTATTTATTTATTTATTATTCATTCATTCATCTACACTGGCTTTAGTGTATGTTCGTTCTAATGGATCTTTTCCCTCTGGAAGAAAAGCACTTCTTTAGAGTACCACTTAGATATTCAGATTGCAGGTTTTAGTGAGAGCCATTTAGATCCTCAAAAGCATTTCTGACTTAATGGCATCTTAAATTATGTCAGATGAAATAAAGTGCACTTCTTTCTTCCAGTCTATCTCCAAGTCATTCCATCTTGATATACTTGGAGTTTGAGTGAGACTGTTGCGTAGTGTTAGGGAGGATCTCACAGATCCTCATGTTTAATCAGTTGCAGATGCAAGTGGAAGGTGTGACAGTATTAGGGACCATGTGTTTCCAGGATCCTGATGGCTACGTGGCTAATTTACTTTCCATTGCAGAACTAAACCAGACAAGGAAGGGTGTTATTAAATGTTCCTTTTGAAGTACCAACAGCTAAGTAGATCCAGATCAGATGACTGTTGAGCCAACAAGGGTACCGTGAGTGGGGCCCTATGGCCAGCATCATGGAGGACACAAAGGATCAGTTTCTGCTGGGGGGAGTGCAGGATCCTGATCTAGTTGCAGTAACCAAGAAAACTGTCCACTCAGCAGTTGCTGCATGCACTGTCGGGCTGAAGGCCCTCCATACACTGTCTCGTGTGACCCTCACACTAACAGCAGGAGAGCAGCCACTAGTATCCTCATTTTGCAGGAAATAACAGGCCGAAAGAGGTAAAGGAATCTCCAGTCACCAGGAAAGAGCTCTTCACTTCCGGCCTCGCACTAAGCTCCCTCCAGCTGCAAAGCTGCCATTGCTGGGTCCCTCACTACAGTGCTGAGGACAGAGACTGTCACTGCAAGATTTCTCAGACGCACAAAAACACATTCTCCCCTGATAACAGATTTCATCACTCTTGAAACCGGAGGCCTGGGAAGAAAGAAGATTGCTGACTGCTGGAGCCTGCCTTTCCAGAAGGAGGCTAGTTGGGGGAGAGGAGGGACTGCCAGCCTCTTTGACTCACGTGATCTTACCATCTGTCTAACTTCTGACTCTCAGTGCTGATTCAGTCTGTCTGCAACCTGGACAGCAAGACCAGGCCAAGGGCAATCCAAATCTTGACTGGAATTGGGTAGATGTGAAGTTGTTGCCCAGGGCTGAGGCCACCTTAATCTCAGTATTCCCATACGCTCCACCAGCTGACTCATTTGAGAGGTCAGACAGATGGAGCTGGAGGTGTAAAGCCGGCTGTGAGGAGTCAGGTCTGGTTCTAGGTGGCAAGACAGCAGACATTCCATGCTAACCATGTGTGTGCCACTGCTGTGCTTGTTAAACCAGACCCAGCCACAAACGGAGAAGCAAAAACATAATCCGGGACCTTATTCTGGGCTTGATTATTAGATTTTAGGAAAGAAAGTTTTTTTTTTTGTTTTTTTTTTTTTTTTCTCACCTAATTCCTCTTAGAAAACAATCTGTCTGGGTAAAGGGCAGAGTAAGCTGTGGACACTTTCTTTCCTACCTTTAGAAGCGAGGCAGGAGACTTCCCAG